CACACACACACACACACACACACACACACACACACACACACATATGTGCCCAGGATATTTTGCTGGTGATGTGTGAATGTTTAAACAGGCAGTGAGGTAAGACTGGACAGCAACACACACAAACACACACAAACACAAGGGAGGAGGTGGTGACATCATAGGGTCAGAGGTTAATCCCCCTGTCCAAACAGCTGTTCCCCCCATCAGCCTCTCTCGCTTTACATACAGACTAACAATCAAAACAGAGAAGCACACGAATGTAAAGGAAATCATGGGAGATGTTATCTGTCAAAACATACAAACCAAAGCAATAGAAATTCTACTAAATAAACTAAATATTAACATTTCAGAGCAACTTCTCAGAGCTGCTAGCATGGATGTCATTCCATTTGGACAGGATTAACATTACAGAGCGAGGTGGGGGATAATGTATTCCTTGTGGGGTTCGGGTAATTTAAGTCTATTACAGGAACTGGACTGTAACTGGGTAACCAAAACAGAAAGCAACAAAAGCCTCCATAAAGAGGAGAAAATCTTCCTGAGACTCTTAACATTTTGAAGTTTTTCCTCCATATCCCAATAACCCGATGACGGCTGTCTGCACATCCACGGGTGGGGGCTGGCAGATTCCTCGGCTACTTTTAATCACACTTCTTCAAGTAAATCCACCAGGCTAGCAGGAACTGACTAAATTAGCTGCTGAACTGTCAGGGAGAGTTTGTGCATGTGCGGTTTGCTGCGTCTCACAGTCGTATCTGTTGTTCAGTGATAAATTCGGATTGCAGGTCAGGAAAAAACAAGCTGAGTGTGAGCTGTGGGAGTTGCTGGAGGTGACGGTCACGGTCACTGCGATGTGGCAGAAAACCACACATGCTATTGTTGTTTTCTTCCTTCTTTTTTCACATTTATATCATAAGTGCAACATTTTTAGAAAGCTCCTGGTTTTGAAGTCCTATCTGAGGGCAGATGTACCGAGTTTCCATAACTGAAAAACACGGAGATGTGCGCTTTGCATTAGACGTAAAGGTTCGTGGGTAACCTCCTTAAAACCTGTAAAGACACCAGTGACCGTGAATGTTACACTCACACAGGGGTGCTAAATAGTGTATGTAGGCCACGGCACAACCACAGTTACTGCAACCACGTGTGGTGAACTTGTGATCTTGTTGCCTTTCAAATTGGTGCTTTGACCAGGTCTGCATCAGCGTTTCTGCTTTACCAGGTGTAACAATAAAGTTTAACATCCAGGCATCCATGAAAACAGAATTCATGAAGTTTAACAGAGTTAGAAGTTAGCAGGAAGTTAGCTCGCTAGCTTCCACCTAAACATGATATAGCATGTTCTGACTGAGAGATTTCTGAAAGAATTCAAACGTACAGCTCTGCTATCACTTCCAATATAAATGAAGACAGAAAACTAAACAGCAGTGACGTTTGTAGGGTTACTGAAGTTGGGCTAGCTGGTATATAATGATGTGCTATGTGATCGCTAGCTACACAGCTATGTTAGCATAGTATAAACTCACTGAAGCTGGAGGATGAACGCTAACTTTTTTACACTCAATAAAAGTTAACTTGAGGGTTCCCGATGGTCAGGAACAAATGCAATCACATGGCAGGATGCTGTAAACGGACCAAACTTCAGTCGGGAGAACAACTGAGATAATCCATCCACAATACGAGGTTAGTCATTAACATACTGCTGCATGGGCTGGGCTGTAGTTACATCGTAAGGTTTAAAAACTGAGCTTTAAAATGAACAGAGAGGCCGACAGTGATCACTGACTGTTTTTAGGGGCTTTTTGAGATTAAATAGAAGAAAATAAAAAACATTAAACATGTTAACAACACAAAAGCCATATTAACAGTGATCACTGACTGTTTTTAGGGGCTTGTTCAGATTCAATAGAACAAGACACAAAGCATTAAAACATGTGAAAAACACAACAGCCTTAATAAACGCAGAGTAGTTTGGACCCGGAAGCAGGATTTATACATCATCACTGAAAGACCGGATAATGACACGCTGATCGACACGCTGATAAAAAGGGACTAAGATGGAGTCAGTCTGTCTGTCTCAGTCAGTCCAGGTTGGTCAATTCAACTACTTCCAAATGGTTGCTGAGTGAATTCTTATATTTGTACATATATTTATCCTTAAAATTCCCACATTCCTGCTCTTATATTTTGTTGTTTCTTATGTTTCTTGTGTTTTGCACACCTCTGTTGTTTGTAAAGCTTGCACTGTGATGTGACAGTAAAAGTGATTTGATTTGAAAATATTCCATGCAATGACTGGGCACACACCAACTTTCACTAGTCTTCAGGAGGTGACTGTCTCATGTTTATCTTAGTGTGACTGAGTCATTAGTGAGCTGCAGTGCTGTGTGTGAGCTAAACTAAATCAGTGTTAGTCTTTGCTCTTTTGTGGCTTTGGGTTGGAGTGTGTTTGATGATGTTTTGTGACGTTCAGATTTTCAGATTAAACCTGACCAGACTTTCAGATCATTCGTTAAAGATATAAAATGTGAGCCGTGAATACTGTGAATACTTGGCACCCTACATTTTTTAAACTTCCTCACAGACACAGGATAAAGTACAGCTACAGCTCAAAGCCTCCAGGTGCTGCCTCTCGGCAGGCTTCCAGACATTGGCCAATGGGGACGGGCAAAATCAAAGTTCATCTCATCTCATGTTTGTCTCTGTTTATTCTCTCCATCAGTTTTTCAGTGTTTACAGTATTTCATCAGTGTAATCCCCCACACTCGCTCTGTCTTTTCTCAGCTTTGCCCCAGGAACGTCGTCCAAACTCTCCGAGTGTGTTTGTGTTGATGTGGTCCATCTGTGGTTTGATGTCCAGCATGATAACTGTGTTTACAGCAACACACGCAGCAGTGCTGTGTGCGTGCGTGTGTGTGTGCGTGATAGAGTAACATCAACAAACAGGACTACACGCACACTGTGAGGGCGTGGACACGGACGCACACGGAGCGTCAGCAGTGGAAGTCGTTCATCTTTTTACTGAAGTTCAAACACGAGTTTGATCCGATTCAAGAGTTCCTCTGCAAGCCTATGGAAAAACAGCCCCAGCCCCGAGCTCTGTAAACATTTTCCTGATGGGTTTATGAGCTCAGTCATCGCAGGTTATATGCAATAAAACAGAAAGTCCATTTTTTAAGTTTTGCTCATTTCAAGTGCCAGAAAAGACGTCAGAGCTTCCCCTCACTCGTCAAAACACTGTAAATGGTGAAAACGCTTAACTTCAGAACAGGACGTCACAGTAACAACATTCATCTTTTATATCGTCTATGTTTTAGCGCTAGACTCCCCCGGGGGCTGAAAAGGTACTGCCTGTGGATTATAAAAGGTTATGTTGAAGAAGTCTTAATTTCCAATACTGCAAATGAGTTGAAAATAACCATTCAGTGGTTACAGTTAAAAAGAAAGAAACTGAACATATGAAACATCTACCGATGTCTGTTTTTAAACCTGAACTCATCAAACAGAGATGACAGTGTCGGGTGCCTGAATTACAGCTGTAAGTGCAGAATCACCCTCAGCAATCGCTTTGTCAGATCACAGAGAGATGGCATTTGTGTTTTTGTGGGGAGGGAACAGGACTAGCTTTGGTGTTTAGACTCAAACTGGCAGGTTGAAGACCAGAAAGGTCATGGCTGCAGTGTAAGGCCTTTGTGTATCAGTCAATTAGCAGCAGCTGAACTCTGGGTAACTGTACACCAGCATCCTGAGGCTGAGCTCACACAGCATGCAGGAAGTGGGTGGAGCCTGCTATCCCATTGTAGCAGTTAGCTTTGTTCAGACCCACATATCACCAATCATTTCTTAAAATGCTTCTTCTGTTGTTCCCAGATTGGTATAGATGGTACCCCCAGGAGACAGAGCAGCAGGCTCATTAAACTCACACACGATCAGATTTCTTCTGGAAACTTCTTCTGTCTCCTGGTTACTTCAGTAATCAAAGACTGATGTAGAAAATGACGAATTATTTCATATTATTGGTCAGATGATGTCATTAAAGATGCTCCAAAAAGCTCCAACAGCACAAACATAGTCCAGAGGTCCAGCTCAGGTGAAGCCTAGCAGACAGCTAGCAGCTACAGCCACCTGTGTCACCATCCACCTGTTGGGCAAAGAGGCCACGCCCTCAATTATTCAACTTTAAGCTTTAATACAATTAATACAAGCATCCTCCCAGCGTAGAGGTGTTATTTTAACATGGCAGTCTATGGGGACTGACTCACTGCTGCCTCTGCTGTTCATTAAAGGAACTGAAGCTTTTGGTACTTTATTTTTTATTTCGATCCTTAGCCTGTGTGTGAGCTCTTCCTAATTTGACAGATTTTACTGCTGTTGTTCTGTAAACAGCTTCCAGGAATCATGAACCTGTGATGGTATTTATTTACTGAATAGATAAGTAAGCAGGTTTGTTTGCCTCCCGCAGTCCTCTGTCCTCTGCTCTGTAAGAACGGCGGAGTCTGTCTGCAGAAGGACCGTTGCCTGTGCCCGCCAAACTTCACCGGGAAGTTCTGCCAGATCCCCGTCACACCCACAGACTCCTCTGCAGCCTTCTCCACCAATGAGATCGTCAAGCCGGTTCTCCTCTCTGCCATGGCATCCAATCAGGAGCTGGTTCAGTCTGAGTTCCTGCTGCCGCTAGGACGAGACGCAGAGGCGATGACTGCTGGAGGTAAGCGACCTGTGACCTTTAACCCCAACTGTGTCGATGGGTGGCTATGACGTTTTTGTGTAACTCTTTGGAGTTTAGAAATATAGAATTTTTAAAAATATTTCTTGATATCTCAATATTTTACAGATTTTTATTTATTTCGGTTGTAGTTTGCTCAGTTTTGTTCTGACATTATTATGTTTATATGTAATAATATCTTTATTTGTTTGTCATTGGTCATTTAGTTGATACATTTTTGGCAGCTTCGGGCTTCCATTGGTAATTTGTTGCTATTGTGAATGGTGCCTCACTGCAGTTATCCTTTAATGTTCACACTCACGTGCAGCCCCCAGCGGGCCCATGGTGAAGGTCAGAGTTCAGCACCCCCCTGAGGCCAACGTGAAGGTCCACCAGGTGAAGGTAAGAACATTAACAGCTCCTCTGATTGGACGATTAAACTGTCAGTCATCATGTGATGATAAACGTTTTGTTCAAGTTGTTGATAAAACAAAGAACAGCCGTTTCGTTTTTTGTATTTTTACATTCTTATAGTTTTGTAAATATCTTTGTTTATTACTGGCCACAGGCATTTAAATAATATTCTCTCACAGTCATCGAGGTTTTACAAGCTTTTCATTTTGTAGATATTTCATAAACATTAATATTCAGTTTTGGCATTTATGTCATCTGTTTTTACATATTTTTATATTTCCACATGTTCTTTTGTTTTGTTCTTAGATTTATTATTTTACATGTTATTAATAATCAATAAATTTTACAATTGGAATTTTTAAATCTTTTAATGATCTGTTATTACATTTTTAATAATTAATAAGAATTATATTACATCTATATATAATTTATTTTTTTATCATTTAAATCTTTGATTTTATTTGAAACAATTGTTTTCTTAAATATAGAATTCTTTAGTTATTTAAAAAAAATTCTTGGAAGTTCTTTAAAAACATCTAAATCCATCAACCTTCTTCCGTTTATCCGGGGCCATGTCGTTTGGCAAGCAGCCTAAGTACCTCCTCCAGCTACTCCGGGGGAACACCGAAGCCTTCTCAGGCCAGCCAAGGGATATAATCTCTCCAATGTGTCCTGGGTCTGCCCTGGAGGGGTGGGACATGCCTGGACACCTCGCCCAGGAGGCGCCCAGGAGGCATTCTTGTCAGATGCCTGAACCACCTCAACTGGCTCCTTTCGATGTGGAGCAGCAGCAGCTCTACTCTGAGCCCCTCCGGGATGGCAGAACCTCTCACCCCTATCTCTAAGGGAGAGACCAGCCATTTCCGCCGCTTGTATCTGTGCTCTGGCTGGTCACCCACAGCTCGTGACCAGCCAGAGCACCAATCCGTCTGTTGATCTCCCGCTCACTTCTCGCATCATTCGAACAAGACATCGAGATACTTAAACAGGGCGATTGTGGCTCAAGAGTTGGCAGTTCATCTTGTAATCGGAAGGTTGCCGGTTCGAGCCCAAGCTCGGACAGTTTCAGTCGTTGTGTCCTTGTGCAAGACACTTCACCTGCCGCCTAGTGGTGTTGGCCAGAGGGGCCGATGGTGCGATATGGCAGCCTCGCCTCTGTCAGTCTGCCCCAGGGCAACTGTGGCTACAACTGTAGCTGCCTCCACCAGTGTGTGAATGTGAGAGTGAATGAATACTGGCATTGTAAAGCGCTTTGAGGGTTTCGAAAAGCGCTAAATGCAATTCACTATTATTATTATTAAACTGCTTCACTTGGGGCAGGAACTCGTCCCTGACCCGGAGTGGGCACTCCACCCTTTTGAGGACCATGGCCTCAGATTTGGAGGTGCTAATTTTCATTCCCGCTGCTTAACACTCGGTTGGGAACTGCTCCAGTGCGAGCTGGAGGCCATCAGCAGTGACAAAGGGCAGTCCTGGCGGAGTCCATCACCCACCAGGAATGAGTCAGACTTATTGCCGGCTATGCAGACCAAGCTTTTGCAAAGGTTGTATAACGATCAAATGGCCCATAGCAATGGGCTAGACACCCCATACTCCCGAAGCAACTCCCACAGGAATCCCACACAGTCGAACGCCTTCTTCAAATCCACAAAGAACATATAGACTGGTGGGCAAACTCCTGTGCAGTATCCTTGGGAGCTCCACGACCAGGACGAAACCACCTTGTTCCTCCTGTATCCAAGGTTCGACTGACAGACGCACATCTAAACAGTCGTCTTAATTTCTTGCAGGAGTTTTAAAATTTTAACCACAGATCAAGTTTAATGTAATTTATTCATTTATTTTTAACCCTTTCATTGAATGTGCCTGTAGTCTTTTGCATTCACTTGCTCGTAGGTAAGTTGAATCTTCTTGTTCCAGGTGTCTGGATTCACTCCCACCCTGCGGACGCTCTCTTCCTCCTCCTCCTCCTCAGGGTCAGCAGGTGCTCCGGCTCCTGCTGGCAGCAGAGTCCTGGCCCAGACTGTGAGAGGGGACAGCGTCTACACCCAGCAGTCCGGCTTTAAGTACTGCTTCAGAGAGGTTCAAGACGGACAGGTGAGTGGCAAAATATGAACACAAAATACCACCTGACATTTACCAGCAGGTTTTCAAAGGAGAACTTAGTTTTTACCCATTAACATGGATTTTGTTCAATGTTCTATGTGTGGAGATTTCTACGACTGTCAGGTGGATAATTACTGTGTTCTGTCACATCAAACAAAAAAACAACCTTTTCGGCACTTTTTACCCCACATAGGCTGTTTTTTTTCTGTCACTGCTGGATTGCAAAGTCAGCATGACCTTGAACCCATGTAAGGGATAAGTGCTGTCTATGACATCATAGGGATCCAAGAGTAGAACAAACAGTCTGAAACTGAGTGTTTAAAGCAATCTGAAAGCTGAGCTTTTGGCACACAGGGATTACTTGTACATATACACCTCATCATTTGGCGAGTTATCACTGTGTTAGGAGACATATGACAGGAAGTAAGGAAATACTGAATAGATCAACTTTAATGTGATTACAAAAAGAAGAAAATGCAAACATATGGTCCTACATCCTTTAAAATGACAAAGAAGTCCTTAAATCATCCCATTGCTACACGATGCATATTGTTGTGTCTTGTTTTGATGAAAGTCCAGCCTGATAGATGTTAGCATGGCTGCGGTCCATCAGATTTATCCTGGACTGTGTTTGTTTTTAGTGCAGCTCTCCTCTTCCTGGCCTTCGGAGCAAGGAAATGTGCTGCAGAGGGATCGGAAAGGCCTGGGGCATCGATGACTGTGTCATCTGTCCTGAGATCACAGGTATACAAAAGTACACACAATACTCGTATAACACAACATAACACACTGTGTGGTCCACTCAGGCTTCCATAACCTACCTTGAGTGACCTCACTGTGGTCAGTCAGAAAACTTTGAAGACTTTTATATGTCTGACATTTTATTATTGCTTTAGACATTAAATTAGGCCCCAAAACCTTCTGGTAATAAAACTGAGACACACGGGAAAAGTTCCCATAGCTAACTTTATCCCTGGACAGTAAACCCAGACGTGCACTGTTGAAGGTTTGACTAACTCTTCCTTTACACTCCCTGGTCCAAGCAAGAATATTATAGTATGACATCTGTTTCATGCTGGTGGTCATTGCAGTGTTTTATATCAAAAGAAAATGACCCATCAATATTAAAACAATGCACTGTTATTCCTCCTCCTTTTCTGTAAAAGGTAGAAAGGTGGCAGAGTGAGGGGCCAGCAGTGGAGTTTGAAACCAACATTCATGTGAAAAGCTGACAGCCACATGCTATGTAAAGTCACGTGTTGCTGCAGCATTACACCGGTTTGATTTAGCGGTTTAGGGTCAGCAAGCAAAGGTGTCATAAAAGAGGTCTTTCGAAAGCTCTCCTTTTTTCTGCAAGAGAAGAAGTCCTCACTATTCACTAATGTCCTCACTATTCACTAATGTCCTCACTTAGGCTCGAATTTATAGAGGTCCTCACAAAGATACCTAGACTAGCACAGTTATACTAACACTTTTTCTGTGAGTGAGGGTCTGCTACTTCATGACTTTAATATTTGGGAAATATTTCACCAGTAGCTGCTTATGTAACTATTGGACTTCATCACACACACACACTCACATTTGTTCATCTGTCTTTGTGGGGACCGTAGTTAATACATGCCTTCTGAGGTTCCGTAACTCAAACATCATGATTTCAACACTGAAATCGAATCAGGTCCAAACCATTTAACAGGCCTCCCAAGGTCTGCCTCAAAGTGAGAACCCAGCAGTGTGTCCTCACAAGCATAGATGCATACACACACACACAGTAAGTAATCGGGCTTCCTTGTTCTTTTAGAGCTGACTAACAGTTAAGGAATGCAACTGTGGGACTGTAGGCTTTACAAACACACACACACACACTCAGGAAATCATGTTAGCTCAACTGCTGGCATCCAGCTTCACACCAGCCTGTAAAGAATGACGGCATACACCTTTAAAGAACAGAAAAGAGGGCCTGGATGCGCGCGCACACACACACAACTGGTACGATTTTTGATGTTTGTCATGGTTCATTAAAAGTGACCAGAAGATCTTTAAAAAGCTGTTTATAGCACAGGTGTCGAATTCCAGGCCTCGAGGGCCGGTGTCCTGCAGGTTTTAGATGTGTCCTTGATCCAACACGGTTTATTTAAATGGCCTCCTCAACAAGTCTTGAAGTTCTCCAGATTCCTGGTAATGAACTGACCCAGGGTGAGATCTAAAACCTGCAGGACATCGGCCCTCGAGTTCGGCACCCCTGGTTTATAGCTTTGGCTTTGTGATGGCGCCCCCTGGTGTTTCTGTTTTACCTAATTTGACTTTGATGTAACAAACTCTGGGGAGTTCATCTTACAACCTCCATCCATCCATTTGCTTCCGCTTATCCTTTTCAGGGTCGCGGGGGGCGCTGGAGCCTATCCCAGCTGTCATAGGGCGAGAGGTGGGGTACACCCTGGACAGGTCGCCAGTCTGTCGCAGGGCCAACACACAGGGACAGACAACCATTCACACTCACATTCACTCGCACATTCACACCTAGTGGCAATTTGGATTATCCAATGAACCTGTCCCCACAAGCTGCATGTCTTTGGACGGTGGGAGGAAGCCGGAGTACCCGGAGGGAACCCACGCAGACACGGGGAGAACATGCAAACTCCACACAGAAAGACCCCGGCCTGATGGTGGAATTGAACTCAGGACCTTCTTGCTGTGCAGCAACAGTGCTAACCACCGTGCCACCGTGCTGCCTAATCTTACATTAGGCAGCACGGTGGTACATCTTACAACCTTTTTCTTATAAATAATTTAATTTGTAATATATTTCTTAGAAACAGTGCAGAACTGTGTTTTGTGTTCTCTCCTAGCAAACATTAAATATAAGTATGTGATCAGATAATTATTCCACAAGAATTGGTGATTGATCAGCGTGTATTTGGTTATTGATCATTGTTAGGTCAGAGCGATGCCAGCTGTCCAGTTGGGTTTGAGCGAGCCAATGGAACGCAGTGCGTCGGTGAGTTTGGCGGTTGTAATCGTACAGGCGGTGGAAATATTCTGTTCTTTAAACAACAGAGAAACTAAACGATCAATCGGAGAAGGTTCTTTCTTTTCATTTCCTAAATGTGAACTTCTGTTGTTAAATGAAAAACGGATCAGTACGCAGGTCCATCCACTCACAGCAGAAGAAGCAATGCTGGTAAAATTAACGTTTTCACGGGATTGGCTGACAGCTTAACGTAGTGCCTGAATAATTGTTATGAAAATATTACATAAAGGAATAATTAGCAGATATGCCTTCCTGTTTTCAAAACTTGTACAAAAAATACTCAGAGCAGCCCTGGTCAGTTACAATACTATGCCGATGACACGGCATAATCTTATCATAGGACAAGATCGGATCAACATGTGGTCATTTGCAGATATGTGTCATCAAACTACAAATAAATCCAGGAATAACAACACTACAGCGGCTGCTTTTAACGAATTAATATGTAAAATAATCCTTATTTAATCTATTTTATACTGAGCTTTGTTCATCTTTGCAAAGGGAACTAAAACTTCTTCCACCAACATTTTATCACCAAGTTTTAGTAGAAAGAAACCAAAACTGCAGTGTTTAATCTGAGCTGTAACAATTAAAGGTTTAACTGCCTAATTTAACCTTAGACTGTAGTTCTACAGGCTGATATTAGCATTAATGGCTTCAGTGTGATGATTCAGCCATGGACAGTTACTCTGCCATGGTCACAGATGTCATTAATCTCTTTAGCTCGACACACAGATTTCTTGGAGAAAAAATCATAACTAACTGTCGTAACTGCTTTTAAAGTCAGAAGTTTATAAAAGGTGCCCTGTTTTCCTCTGATTTTCTTCTTATTGGTTTCCTTCATATTCCAGTCTGTTTAGACATTAGCGATAAAAAACATATTTACTGCGTGAACAAAAGTGACATCGATCAGAATTAACATAAAGATAATACCAACGAACTGTCAGCTACCAAATGTAAGATCTTCAGCTTTCCTTCTGAACTGCTTCCAAGATAAAGAAATCTTTAAACTATTTGTTTAAAGTCTCCATGTTTCCTATGCAATGGATTTCCTTATTTACGACCAGAGGACTGATCCATCTTTAAAAAGTTTATCAGTTTTCTGATGTGCCCACTCGGGATCCGGGCGTTAGTAAATAAACGGTGTCTTAGAGGACGTTTGACGTCGGATCGCTTTGACAGCTGAGAAAAGCTTGAAGTGTTTGTGTGTGTGTGTAGACGTGAATGAGTGCCTGCAGCCGGGGCTGTGTGAGAACGGCATCTGTGTGAACACCAGGGGGAGCTATAGCTGCGTGTGCAGGCTGGGGTTCATCCTCGACGCCTCACATGGAATCTGCATCTGTAAGTAACGCACATTTACATGCACGCTGCCGCCGCCGCCGGCTTGGGAATGAAATGAGGAATGACGCCGACTCCTGTCAGGACTTCCTGAATCCATCTGAGCTCTCCAAGTTTCTCCTGGACTTTGGTTGGCTCGTCTCTCTCAAAGTTTAGCTGTGCAGCACATCAAAGTACAGAAAAGCTGAAGCTGCTGCACAGCTGGAAATAACTAATTTCTACTATAGCTGTAACACAGTGGGCAGTGAGGATTTGGCTCCCTGCGCCACCTCAGCAACTGCACTGCAGACTTTCAGCTTTAACTTTAGGTTCTGTTCAAAAGCATCACAGCCATTTTTGTGTTAAGGTGTAAAAGGCTGGACTGGCGAGTGTAATGATGTCACTTAAGATTTTCACTTTGATACCACAGGAGTCTACTCACAAACCCGGTCTAGGACGCACAGACAACCTGCAAACTGAAATTGATAAAATAATATAACACAGGACAAATTATTACTACAGTGTCTGTGTAGTTTATTAGACAAGCTACACAGTGTTGGCTGATTTCAACTTCAAACAGCCACTCAGGTATTAAAGTTACACTGGGCTAATACAGCATTTCTGTAAGTTTAAAGATGTTCTAAACACAATTTTTCTTACAAAGAATTGTTGATTTACTCTGAGCTTTTCTGAAAATCTGAAGATGAGATTCGTCGGACTGCGGCTCAGACCTTCAGCAGGAATAATGAGAGGACTTCTGTGTTTTTAAAGGTCAACTTTAAATCTTTGTTCTGCTCGTTGTTCTTTGGGGAACATGAGGGAGAGGTTCAGTGCTCAGATGGTTTTTATGAAGCCTGACCGGTGCTCTGCTTATTCCGACCGGCATTCAGTGAATCAGAGGAGGAGGAGCTTCAGGATGCTGGTCTACCCGGTAACTGATGACAGCGCTCTAATCAAAGCTTTACTTTTTTTAACAGTGTGTCTGTGTTTGGGTTTGTGTGTTTTTCAATCTCTTTCCTTTCCTGGAAATATTTTTTATATCCAAATTATTGTTTTGTCAAATTGAAGGTTTTTTGTTTGACATCCACACGGACTTGGACAAGCAGCAAAGTGGCTGTGCTTTTTCTATTGTTCTACTTCCTGTTTGTGTTTTAACTTGCGCTTACTGGGCTGAGTTATCACCTCGGAGCAGCTCCCTCCCCACAATCTAGAGTCTGTTTCCTGTAAAAGAAATAAAGCAGAATAAAAATGAAGCCAACACTGAAGCAAATGAAGCTGCAGTTCCTCTGACGTCCAGCAGAGGCAGCAGTGAGTCAGTCAGACTCACATGTTGAAGCTTTAGAGCAGAAATAAACACGTTTACAGCCTGATACACTGATAAACTGTTTGGTTTTTACAGATAATTTTCTCCTTCATAACAAGAATGTTTGCACAACTCGCCTGTTTGGATAATGTTGAGGCTTACAGTGTGCATTATTAGGGGCGTGGCCTATTTGACTGGCAGGTGGATGGTGGCACAGGTGTCAGTAGCTGTCTGCTAGCTTCACCTGAACTGGACTTCTGGACCGTGTTTGTGCTGTTGGAGCCTTTTGGAGCATTTTAAATGACATCATGTGACTTGCTGCGAGGTTACTGTAGTAACAACCTGTCCACGAATCAGAGCTCCAGTTTCAATGAGTGAAATTCTTGGATTTTACTTGGATGTTGCTGAACACTAACTAGCAGGCATGGATGAAGCTTCCTAACCTAACTGTCTTGGTTAGGAAGGAACGCTTCGTGCTCATCTACTCGTTTTGCGGAGTTGCCCCCTGCTGGTCAGTAGAGAGAATGCAGCTTTGGAGCACTTCAGTGTCGGTTTCATTTTTCAGACCCAGAATTTGCGCCCATCTTTATATCAGAGCGGTGCCAACACTCGTGTCCTCTTTGATAGAAGCCATGAGCCAGATGTTTGCATGGGAGGTTACTGAGGTTGAAATCGTTGTGAAGCCGTGTCTGCAGGTGGTTAAACTTCCATCTGAATTTAGATCTGTTGACACGGCCTGCTGATGTTCTGTGTCGTCGGAAAGCTTCCTGTTCCTGCATCACCTGCCACGTCTGTGTTGAATCCCTTCCTGTGTCATTTAAACCGAGCGGGTCGGGGTACAGCATGTACTTGTTCTGCATGCAGCGCTCTGCTTCAGGTCCCGGCCGAGCTTCGGGTGGATCATCTGTGTAACGAGTCCCCCTCCTTCCTGTGTGTCCTCCTCAGCCCAGAGTGTCATTTCTGAGGAGAAGGGTCAGTGTTACCGGGTCCTGGGTTCAGGACTGGGTCCGTCCTCCTGCTCCCTGCCTATTCTCAAAAGCATCACCAAGCAGATCTGCTGCTGCAGCCGGGTCGGCAAAGCCTGGGGACCCGACTGCCAGAGGTGTCCGTACTTCGGTTCAGGTAGGTTCAGGAGGACGACGTCACGACTGAGCTTATTTGGTTTCAGGTGAATTTTCAGGTGTGTCCTCTCTCTTCCCTCCATCTCCTCCTTCAGTGGCCTTTAAGGAGATCTGTCCTGCTGGTCCTGGTTACCAATACTCGCCTTCAACTCTTAAATTCAACCAGAGAGTCAGCGAACCGGAAGGGGGCGGCGGAGCTGTGCTGGTAAACGGCAGCAACAAGGACAACCAGGGTACCTGCTGAGCACACAGCATCCTGCACACCGGCTGCTCATGCTTCTCTCATGGGAGTGTTGGGTCTGCTCCACCTTAATGATCAATAATAACAATAATAATAATAATAAATTATGACAGCATTAAAAACTTTAAAGTTGACACAAGTTATCGTCTACGAACGGTTCACAGCCTGCCTGAGAACCAGTTTTCCTATTAATGACGTTAATAAATGAAACAGCAGCTGCTGACAGACTGAGCTCCTCTTAAACTGAGCCTAAACTCGTATTTAAGGTTGTCAATGTTACACTGCAGCATTTACAGCTACATTCTGACTCTGTTCCACATGAACTCTTGTTTTTGGTTGTTTCTAAGTCTTGTTTGAAGACTATTTGTTTTTTTACGATAAAGAAAATCCCTGGTTGATTAAGATTACACCTGCAGATCGATTTAAACAAAGATGGATGTGTTAGTCAGTGTGATGAGCCTGAGTCCCCCCCTGCAGGTCCTGTTTCAGGGTCCGGGTCTCTACTGAAACCCCCTTCCTCTGGTGGAGCGAGTACCTCCGGTGCCACAGGAGCTGGGACCAGACCCAGTCCTCCCCAACCTAAGCCCCAGCCAGGCACAGGCTTTCCCGCCTCCTCCTCCTCTTCGTCCTCCTCTTCGTCCTCCTCGTCCTCCTCCAGGCCTGTGCAGCCTGGCAGTGCTGGTACCTCGACCACCCAGGGCAGAACCCGGCCTTCGCAGAGCCGACCTGATTCAACACAACTGAGACCTCAGCCTCCGTCCGCCGGGAGCCAAGGTAGCAAAACAGCGAAGTTTTATTTGTCGGAATCATCGATAAACACCAGCAACAGTTTTACTTCAACTTTACGGACAGTGAGACAGTTTCAGGACATCTGAGGTCAGATTTAGAGCAGAATCCTCATTTGGCACTAAAGAGCTGTTGGGTTATGTTAAAGAAGCCTTTTCACACACGTTTGCACAAACATGAACACAACATGATTTACAACAACCTGCAGCATATAAAAGCATCGAACACTGTGAGTTGGCTCTGCCTCTGTTTTTTATTATTGCACTTTTATATTTTCTTCAAATTTGATCTTCACTTTCACAGTTTTGCTGACGACACCCAGCTGCATCTCTCCTGCAGACCTGATTCCTCCCTCCCACCTTCTTCCCTGACAGAGTGCCTCACTGAATTAAAATCTAATTTTCTTAAGCTTAATGAGGATAAAACTGAAATCCTCCTTATTGGCACTAAATCCAAGCTGCTGAAGGCGAACCATTTCTCACTCACCATCGATAACTCCACAGTTTTCCCTTCACAGCAGGTTAAGAGCCTTGGTGTCACCTAGACAGTTCACTTTTCTATAAATCTCACCCGTTCTGCCTATTTCCATCTACGCAACATTAACAGATTACGTCCTTCTCTTTCCACCCAGTCTACGTCCATTCTTGTCCACAATCTTGTTACCTCCCACATTGACTACTGTGATTTTTCTCTTGCATGGTCTCCCCCCAAAATTGGGGGAATTTCACTGGCTCCCAGTGAAATTTCAGACAAACTTCTGCTCACCTTCAAGGCCCTTTATAACCTCGCTCCTCCTTACCTCTCTGACCTGTTAAGCACGATCTCTTCTGCCCGCTCACTTCGATCTTCTTCTTCTATCCAGCTTGCTGTGCCTTCTTCCCGCCTCACCGCCATGGGAAGCAGAGCTTTCAGCTGCTCTGCTCCCAGGCTGTGGAGCTCTCTGCCCCCAGATATAAGAAACACTGGTTCTCCCTCAGTTTAAATCTCAACTCAAAACCCATCTGTTCAAATCTGCATATTCACTGTGAACCTACTTTGTTCATTTTATCTTGTGCTTTTGTTTTATTGTTCTTCATTGTGTCGTTGTTCTATTATGTGTTTTATTCTAAATGGTACATTGGTAAGTGTCCTTGGGTGTCTTAGGTGCTTTTTAAATAAAATTTACTATTATTATTATTATTATTATTATTATTATTATTATTATTATTATTATTATTATATTTGATATTAATTGCCTTTGCTTTTTGAATCGAGGCTGAGTGATTCGTTAAAATCTTAGCAGAGCTTTTTCTATAAAAACTGCATCTACTAAGCACGAAGTCTTTGGCAGCGTTTATGAAAAACTTTACCTGCTGTACCTTGGTTTGATGAAGATGACTGTGTCTGAGAGGAAGGAACTGCTGAAGACAAACTGACCTGTCGTTGTTGTTTCTGCTCTCAGCAGCTGATCGTTTCTCTTCAGTGTATCGGGCCGATCCGCCGCCATCCAGAGGGGACTCCCTCCCTGCTCCGGCCCAGCCGCAGAGCCCCGAGCGTGGGTCGAGACCTAGGGAAGACCTCCCTCTGGAAGCCAGACCGGCTGTGAGCCCGACACCCCCCAGAGTTCAGAGTAAGTACTGGACGGAGAGGACGGCGTGTTGGAAGGACGTTCTTCATCTGTTCCGTCCTTTGAAAAGAAAAAAGTTCACTCAGATCAAAGCAGAATCCATTTGATAAAACTGTCTTTGTGCAGAATGAAAGATCAAAGGTGTGTTTATGTGAATGGTAAATGGTAAATGGCCTGCATTTGTATAGCGCTTTTCTAGTCCATAGGACCGCAAAGCGCTTCACACTACATTCAGTCATCCACCCATTCACACACTCTGACCACCACCAGTGATGGTCAGAGGTCTGATGTGTGAGAGCGCTGACCTGAGGTCAGCTGCAGACGCTCGGCGGGTGACGAACCTTAACCGCCATGTTTCTGTGTGCGTGCAGCAGTACAAGGCGTGTGTGAGAGCAGGCCGGGTGTGTGTGGCCGTGGCCGCTGTGTGGATCAGCCAGGTGGGAAACACACCTGTGTGTGTGATCGGGGCTTCCAGCTCAGCTCGCAGCACACACACTGCCAGGGTGAGATATGAACACGTGAATCCTTCAGCCCTGTTTGAAAATGTCAGCTGACTGAGAGTTTGTAACAATACGATCTGTAGCAGTAACAGTTACTACATATCAAAACAAATAAAGATGAACTTATTGAAAGTCATCATATTGTATCACATCATGTTTATTATAGAAAAATATTTCTGCATTATTTAACAGATATTTTACAATAACAGTAATTTTAATTTTACAAATAAACAAAT